AAATGAGTGAGGTGTGGAGGGGGTGGTGGTAGTGATAACCTGTGTGTGAGTTCGTTTCAGTCAATACCTATACAATACGTAAGAATAATAATGAAGAGACAAAGGGAGGGGAGTGATTGCGCCAAAGTAGTGGAGAAAATGGAGCGAATATGAGGGAAAAGGACAGAGGAAAGGGAAGGGGAGTTTGTGCAGATGTAGCTGTGATAGTGCCAACTTGCGAGTGGAATTAGAGCATGGAGAATTAGAAGGAAAAAAATAATTGTGGATGAGAACGTACCACACACTACGCGAGCTTCCGCTTTCGTCGTCCCGTGGTCGCCGGCTTCACATTCTCCTGTGCGTCCTTGTCGATGGTGCCGTTCATCTGGCCCCGTCCGCCTCTGCCACCGGCACCACCACCCTTGCCGCCCTTGCCTGACTTCTTCGTGGCCGCCTCTCGCTCCTCCAGCTCCTGGTTTTCTCGTTCAATGAGCGTAATGAGCGTGTTGCAGCGACGTTGCAGCTCCGAGGTGGTGCGCGACTTGAGGAACCAATCAAAGCGAAATTGGGGCGCCTCGCGAATGGCCAGCTTCAGGTCCTCGTAGACGTTCTCCCGGTCGACGCCCAGCTTGTGTAGACTGCAGATCAGGTAGCGATCCTCCTCCTCAATGTAGTTCTTGCCCTTGTTAGCGCCGTAGTTGATGCGCAGCTGGTGAAAGGGCGCCGAGTAGCGGGCCATCTTCGCCTCGATGGCCTTCTTAATGTCCTGCCGGCGCTTGATGCGCTGTTCGCCCTTCTCAATCTGCGCAATGATCTTCTCGCCGTCGGCCAGCTCGGCAAAGCGATCCCAGAAGGTCTTCGCGTACTCGACCACATCCTCCGGCGCCTTGCCCTCAATCTCCTTGCTGATGGAGTCAATGTCGTCGCGACCGTACTTTTCGCACATCTTCACGAACTGATTAAAGTCCCGTCGTGACCAGTTGATGTAGCCCTCCGTCAGCAGCTCCTCCTTCTCCTGCGTCTCCTCCTCGGTGAGCGCCTCGCTCTTGTCAATCAGCTTCTGCTCCTGTTTGCGCACCTTCTCCGCAGTGTCGCCCAGATCGGGATTGAGCGGCACCTTGTAGCCGATGGTCTTCCGGTAAAAGTAGATCTCCTTGTCGAGCAGCTCAAAGAGTCGCGGCGGAAAGAACTGAAAGTCCTGCACGTTGGGCTGCTTCGGTGGTCGAGGCGCCTTCGGTGCCTTTGGCTCAGAGACTCGCAGCGCCTCTCGAAAGTAGGCGTCCACGGCGTAGTTGGCCTTGCGCTCTCGCTTCGGCGGCTCAATCCAGGCCAGCGCCGCCAGCTTCTGCTTCTCTCGGTAGTCCTCGCCCTCAAACTGGTACACGCTGCTGTCTCCAGTGTCCAGTGTAAAGTTCTTCAGCTGGCCCTCGCCCATCTGCTCCAAGCGCTTCTTCATCTCCTCGGTCTTCGCCTCACCACGCTGCAGAATCGAGTCCAAGTCCTCCTCGGTGATCTGGCTGTCCTTCGAGGCGAAGATCTGGTCGGCACCGTGGCGAATCATGCCCAGCACCTCGTCCTTGTTCAGCTTGTTCTGCCCGTCCACCAGTCGTCCCTGCTGAATGACCAGCGTGTCCAGACGGAGCTTTACCTCCGCCCGCTCTACAATGCGCTCCTCGACGGTGTTGTCGGTGATGAAGCNGCTGAATGACCAGCGTGTCCAGACGGAGCTTTACCTCCGCCCGCTCTACAATGCGCTCCTCGACGGTGTTGTCGGTGATGAAGCGAAAGACGCGCACCGGCTTCTTCTGTCCAATTCGATGGGCTCGATCCTGGGCCTGCAGATCCGCCTGCGGATTCCAGTCCGAGTCGTAGAGGATGACCACGTCGGCGGTGGCCAGGTTGATGCCCAGACCGCCGGCTCGGGTGCTGAGCATGAAGATGAACTTTTCACTGTCCGGCCGGTTGAAGGCCTCAATGCTGCGCTCGCGGTCCTCGTGCGACGTCTGTCCGTCCAGGCGGCAGTACTTGTAGCCCCGCCAGAGACAGTAGTCCTCCATGATGTCCAGCATTCGCGTCATCTGACTGAAGATGAGCACCCGACTATCCTGCTCCTTCAGCCGGGGCAGCAGTTTGTCGAGGATGCACATCTTCCCGCTGTTCTCCACCAGGTGCATGTCGGTGGTGTAGGGCGGACCGGGCTCGGCGCCGTCAAAGAGGTAGGGGTGGTTGGCGCACTTTCGCAGCTGCATGAGAATGTTCAGCAGGCGGAGCTTGTCCGACTTGCCGGCATTGTTCACCACGTCAATGTCCTTCATGAGAATTTTGGTGTACCACTCGCGCTGCATCCGACTCAGACCGACGTAGATTTTGGTCTCAATCTTTGGTGGCAGCTTCTTCTCCACCTCGCTCTTCAGTCGTCGCAGAAGGAACGGCCTGAGGACGTAGTGCAGACGCTCCACCAGTGATTTGTCGCCCAAGCAGGAGTTGGTGTTGAACCAGGAGTCAAAGTCCTCAGAAGAGTTGAAAACATCGGGCAGAAGAAAGTTCAAAAGCGCCCACAGTTCGTGAAGGTTATTCTGAAGTGGAGTACCGGTTAGTAGGAGTCGATTGGTCGATTTGAATTCGCGAATAATTTCCGAAAGTTTGCTCTTTTCGTTCTTAATGCGATGCGCCTCGTCGATGACAATGTACCGCCAGGTGAACTTTTTCAAAACTGCCTTCTCCTTGATGATCATTTCGTAGGAGGTGACGACCACGTCGAAGCTGTTGGGCGGGCCGAGCAGTGTTTCGCGAATCAGCGTATTACGAGCCTCCTGGTTGCCGATCAGACAGACTGGCTTCAGTGTGGGACACCACTTTTTAATCTCATTCATCCAGTTGGTCAGCGTCGACTTCGGGCTGATTACCATGTGCGGTCCGGCGGCATTTTTGTAGTGTTTCATGTAGCCGAGCAGTGAGATGGTCTGCAGCGTCTTGCCGAGACCCATCTCGTCGGCGAGAATGCCGTTGATGCCATTCTCCATCAGACTGATCATCCAGTTCAGACCGCGAACCTGGTAGTCCCGCATTTCGCCGTTTTTAATGTAGGTTGGACTTTGGTCAAAGCGAAAATAGCTGGAAGCCTTTTTCGTCGCACTCAGCAGCTCCTCGTCCTCCTCCTGTTCAGTCATTCGGTGGCGATGGTCGGCCGCATCGGCGGCTGCCGCAGCCACTGTCGATGCTTTGGGCTTTCTGCCGCGCTTCGGGGTGGTTGACTCTGTGGGGTTGATGCCCGTTGTCATGAAATGCGAGAAGATCTCCGTCTGTTTGAGTAGAAAGTCGAACCGCTTCGAGCGATCCTCCTTGATCTTTGAGTCGAAGTCGCTGGAGTTGATCATCTTCGTGAACTGCTCGGAGACCGGCTCCGCCGGTGTAGTGCACTGCGAGTCCTCATCGGGGTCGCCATTGGAGGTAGTGGGGGGCGTTGTCTCGTCGCCTTCAACGATCGGGTCTTCCTTGTCAACTTCCATTTCACTTTCCATGTTGCCGGAGAACAAAGGCAGAGAAAGAAAGAAAGAAAGCGAGGGAGAGCGAGAAAGGGAGAACAGCGTGGACTGAGGCACAGCAACGCACTGACAGAGGCACGGCCGCTGCTCGTTTGCTCTGCCGCAACGAGCGCGCGTTAGCTGCTCGGTAAAGCGCGTAAGCGGTGTCGTTAAACTCGCGTAATGGGCGGAGACAGTGAAGAACGCATCAGTTCAGAAGCTTGGCTGCTGCAAATCCCGCCCACTTACTGAGCTTTAAATGGTCATTTGCGCGCGATATCGTTCCTGAGAAGATTGCCCGTCGTTCGCCGCTCTCTGCCCGGAAGTTTTTGTTTTTAGGAGAAACATGTGATTTTAGGTGCTCCTCTACCACCTCTTTCTCATCTGCTCTTCTTTCCTGAGTTAGGCGTTCTGAGGTTCTACGACGACGGCCAGCTTTTCCGACGTCAGCATCTCAGGAACGGTTATCTATCTACACTCTATCAGCAGCAGCGTCGGCGGCAACATCAGAGCAGTGGCTGAGTCACTATCACCCTCGTTAGCCTCCTGAGCAGCAGCTGACCAACGACTCCGTCACGACCGTCACAATCATGAAGATCCTCAGCGAGCTGAATGCGCAAATCTCCTCATCGACCCGGCTAAAGTGGGCGCTGGCGGTGGCGACGCCGATTGTCGTCGGTTCGGCAGGCGCCTGCCTCTACTACTACTATCGCAATGGGGAGACCTCAGCAGAGAGGGCAGCCGCGGAGAAGAAGGCTGCATACCTAAAGAAACTGGTAAAGAAATGACAGGCAAATAGTAAAACACCGACTAACTCTTCTCAACCACTAAATCATGACAGGCAAATGACCCGCTGGCAAAGGCCAACGATTTGAAAAACAAGGGAAATGAGTTTTTTCGTCTGAACAAGTACGAAGATGCGCTGCGAATGTACAACGAGGCCATAGCTGTACTGCCAAGTGAGAGAACTAAAGAACTGGCGACCTGTTACCAGAACAAGGCCGCCTGTTACGAGCATCTGAAGCAGTTTGACCAAGTCATTGAAGACTGCACAAAGGCCATTGAAAATGATAAGCTCTACGTCAAGGCTTACCTTCGAAGGGGGAAAGGTAGGCTCTTCTAAACGTAAACTTGTCATCAGTGTTTTAAACTGCATTTTATTTCAGCCAATGAGGTCTTGGAAAAGTACGAGGATGCCACATTTGACTTTTACGTCGCAGCGTGTTCATCTCAGTTTCAAAATTCCGACTACATCAGTTTGCTCTACCAAGTTCTGGAAAAGTTTTCTTTCGCCAAAGCAAATGACATTGTTGGCAAGCGAAAGCAGTTCACATTCCAGAAGTACCTCCTTCGACACATTGTCAACAAGTTCAGCCGTGACCCACTGAAGGCCAAGTTTGAGGAGCTGAAGTCAAATTACAATGAGATTGTGACTACACTTCTCAATGACAACTCCAATGATGAGTCACTTTCCGTAGACGATCTCCTGCTCAAAGGTGCGCGCAACACCGGTGTTTGAATAGGGTTACCAGTTCTCACAGTGAATATTCCCCAAACAGGTACCATTGAGATGTACATTGGCAAACACGAGGCAGGCCAGCGTAAACTCCGCAAACTTATTGACAACGCCGAAGTCGAAGTCTCCTATAAGGTGAATGCTCTGCTGAAGCTGACTGAGTTTAACTTCCAAAACAACAAACTTGAGGAGGCGAGGCGCTGGCTGACAGAAGCTGAAAATCTAGACAGCCTTAATCCGGACGTGCACTACATTCGCTCTCAGGTAGGAGATTTACACGAGATCTTATTGGGATTTTAAATTTCGTTTTTTAACAACTTTACAGTTGCACATCATCAACAAAGACTACGATGCTGCCATGAAGGACCTGGTCTCGGCCGCAGAGCTTGATCCTAAATTTAGTTGCGCCATAGGCCAAAAGTTGTACATTGAGTACCAGCAACTTCTTATGATTAACGACATTGCCAAGAAAAACGCTGCTTTGAAAGGTATTGTTTGCTTTGTTTTAGCTTTGTTTGAACTAAACCCATTCCTTTCATTTCAGAGTTTGAAATGGCAATTGAAAAGTTTCCTAAATCAAATGAGCTACTGCTCCTGTTTTTCCAGGTAAGTAGTGGAATTTAGTTGGTTGTGGAAGTGTTTCTAGTTTCATTCAATTTTTCTGTTTAGGTTTTGTTGAGCAACAACGAAATGGCTAAAGCAGAAGGGCTGATCACGAAGGCACTGGAAAACGATCCTGAAGATCCGACGCTGTACGTCTACAAGGCCCTGGTGTACATTGAGACAAGCGATCTCGAGAAGACGAGAGAGTACCTCGATCTGGCGCTGAAGCTTGACCCGAAGTGCAGCTTCGCCTACGAGATGCTCGCCGACCTGTGCAGCAAACTGGAGAACTTCAAGGACGCCCTCAGCTACCTGGAGAGCGCCATCAACTGCTCCACCACCTTTGAGGACGTCAAGAACTTGATTCTCAAGCACAAGACGCTGGAGCTGCAGTTGAAAGCGCCCAAGTTTGGCCAGTGAAATGAAGCACCTGCCGCACCTGCCCGTCCGGGCCACAATTATAACACTCAAACGAGAGCCGAAGGCTACCTCAACATGCCATACTCGCCGTTCTTCAGCTTCTTTTGAGATTACCTATAAATCGCTATATTTATATAAGCCATTTAGTCGATTATTCTGTATAAACTATAATTGGTCGTACGACACAGACTTTGCAAACTGATCATCCATTGTCCATTGCAACCGGCCGTTCTGGTTAGTGTTGACGTGTGCTAGTGGATATAGTGTGCGCCGCTGCTGCCGCTGTCGCTGCTGTTGCAGTGCAGTCTGTCATCAGTGCTGCCTGCCTTTTTGTGTATACAAAATCACCGCATAACTTTAGCACTGACGTACACTACAGAAGCCAACCGACCAACCAACCAGTGTGATTCAATCAGCTGCTTCTCCAGAGAATCTAGCGAAAAGCAACCGTCCACCGTAGTTGATCCAGGAAGAGTCAGCAGTAGTGAGGACTTTGCTCGAGAAGTAGGAGGAAGAGGAAGAGAAGAACGACGATCAGTCATGGCTGCCCTTCCCACTTTGCTTCAGTTTTACATGTCCATGCCACCGGTGACCAGAGCCTACACCACCGCCTGCGTGCTCACCACACTCGCCGTGGTAAGTTGAGCTGATCGTCAGTTGATGATGACTGCTAATGAGACACACCCTTTTTCTAGCAACTGGAACTGGTGACGCCCTTCCAGCTGTACTTTAATCCGTACCTGATATTCCAGAAGTTTCAAGTAGGTTTTATTATGCGGTGAGCCAAAAAAGTAGTGTGACAACGTTTTTGTTTATCTCCCAACCAGTTATGGCGCCTCTTGACCACCTTTCTATTCTTCGGCTCATTCGGCTTCAACTTTATGTTCAATCTCATCTTTACCTATCGATACTGTGCAATGCTCGAGGAAGGGGCTTTTCGCACTAGGACAGCTGATTTTTTCTACATGTTTCTCATTGGTGGCTTCCTCATGTGTGTAAGTACTTTGATTGACCAGGAAGCGTGAGTTTTTTTAATTGTATTAACACTTGTTCGCCCTTTTGCACCTCTGAAGTTAATGGGCTTTTTCGTCAACTTGCTCTTTCTCGGACATGCGTTCACCATAATGCTGGTGTACATCTGGAGCCGACAGAATGAAACCGTTATGATGAACTTTTTCGGCCTTTTCAACTTTCACGCGCCGTACTTGCCGTGGGTTCTTCTAGGCTTCTCCTTTGTGCTCGGCAACTCAGTGCTGATCGACCTGCTGGGCATTGCAGTGGGACATATCTACTTCTACCTGGAGAACGTCTGTCCGGCCAAGTTTGGCTTCAGACTGCTGAAGACGCCTCGATTTATGTAAGTGCCCACTAGTTATAATGAAGGCTACGTGACCTAAACTCATCCAATGTACTGTTTGTTGTAGTGAGCGCCTCTTTGAGTCCTACGAGGGGTACGAGTTTCTGGATGAAGCCGAACGCGATGGTGTACGACGCAATGAGAATGGCCCTGTGCACTAATTGCCCAGTTCTGTATAAATTACTAGTCTCCGCTACTCCTGTACATAACCACATTTACACACACAACTGCTTGTTGTTTTTTGTTATCGTTTTTGTTGCTCTCTCTCTCTCTCTCTCCATTCTGACGCTTTGATGCCTCTATTTATTACTTTATTGTTTCACACTTTACTGCACATCTCTCTCTTCTTTTTTATTTGTATAGAGAAACCCCCTCCCCCTTCCTCCCTCTCCCTCCCTCTATATTTTGGCTACTGTACAAAAGAAATGAACGATGAACGGCGCTGCTGTTCAATAAAGAACAAAATGAACTCCCGGTGGCAGCAAATCCTACCACCACCTTCCGGGGACATCGAGCTGAATATCGATACTGAAGCAGTCATTTGCGGGATAATTTGCTCAGCCACCGATGACCTTGGCTGTCTGAAGCCGCCACAACAATGACTACGGTGCCAGGCAGTTCAACTACCGCCCACTTTGCAAGCACACATATTCTCCTTGCGTACATCCGGTGGAGTTGGTCAGTATGTGTGCTGCACCATCAGTGCAGAACTGGGCCACTCTTTCGGTGCGGCAAGACAAGACAAGACCATCACCAAAGCGGCAATATAAAAGACACTAAAGCGAGTGATAAAGCCGCAGCAACTCAAGACCGACATCGGACACCTGTTGCCCAACTTTGACAGACAGACAGTCAGACAGATGAAGCAAAGTTNACACACACACACACACACACACACACACACACACACACACACACACACACACACACACACACACACACACAGACACCTCAGCTGACACTGTGCCGTTGACAGCATCGCCGACAGCGGCAACCGATTACTTTGGAATGGAATTTAATTTGCAATTGACAGCGAACACGACACTACCTCGACCACCACCTTCCACCACAGGCACTTCGCACTTACGCGAGGAGCACGAACGAACTAGCAGCAGCGGCGGGAGCAGCCAGTGCCGCCGCCGTCCACGGACTGATTATTGTCACGGGTAATTATGGGCTCTTGGTGCTCTCTGTGCTGCTCGCTCCTTTTTACAGTCTCTCTCCCTTGCTTTCTCCCTGTGAACGAAATCCCAAAAGTTATTTGTTTATGGACTCGTGGTGTGTAGTAGTTGCGCCGGTGCTGGTGGAAGGTTGCTCTTGACTTGCATCCATAATGCTCATAATGAATACGGTGCCGCATAGTGCTGTACCATTAAGTGGAGATTGGCCATGCTGTACAATGCCTGCTCAGCACTGGATGTGCCCCTGCCCCAGCTACGACAGAAGCAGAAGCAGTACCAACAGCAAAAAGAACTAAAAGTGATACAAACTAGAGAGAGAGAGAGAGAGAGAGAGAGAGAGCAGCAACAGGTGAACCGCTCTACGCGCTTTAATTGACGCGCGCACTTGTACGATAACTGCTGAACTGGACTATGCACCAGCTGCAGAAGTGGCGGTGGTGGTGGTAGTGCTAGTACTGGGAAGTAGTAGTGGTGGTTGTGGACATACTTTTTCACTCTTTCACTATCATCTGATGTGTTTGGTCCATTCACTTAAAAAAGACCGACTTGGAGGTGATGTACTTTAGCATCTCTGTTCTCAGTTCCAAAGTCTGGTCATCAGCATTGCCCTACATCATCTTACCTGTCCCAGTGCCAATCTTCTCTTTTGAACATCATCCCCATCATCTTCACCGTTGCCTCTCTTCATCTGCATAATCTTAATTTTAATTTATTTTTTACTTCCTTTTCCCCTCGCCCATTACTGACCACAATGACCACAAAGCCGTCCAATCGGCAGTACTTCTTCTCCGTCTTTGGTCGGTCATGGCGGACGGTGCTGGGATTTGTGGCGCCAATTGCGCTGCTGCCCTTTCTGCTCGATTACCAAGACAAGGTACAGCCTTTTTTCAATTTTCGACAATTTGTTACCAATTTGCATTTCTGTTTTTTCCCATTGAAGGCCAGTCTGTGCGCCTATGTGCTCATCCTCATGGTCATCTACTGGATGTTTGAGCCCATCAATCTTTATGTCACTGGTGCGCACATGACCAAACAACCTTTTTCACTAAACCAAATCAACCGTTTCTTTTTTCATTATACCTTGTTCGATGTGTAGCACTAATACCAGTGGCACTTTTTCCGCTGCTAGGCATTGCAACGTACGTTCAATTAATTGTTTTAGTTTTTTGTGTGTGTTCACCAAATGGTTCATTTGTTTTGACAGTACTGACGAAGTATGCATAAACTACATGAAGGTGCGTTCAATCAAGGGGAAGTTCAAGTGGAAAGCTTTTCAAGCTCGTGATGTCATCTATTTTTAGGGTACAAACATGATGTTCTTCGGTGGCCTGATCATGGGCATCGCCCTTGAGCACTCGAATCTCCATCGGAGAGTGGCCTTGAAGGTGATCATCTTCTTCGGGTCCAGTGTGAAGAACCTGATGGCGGGAATCATGCTGGTGACAATGTTCCTCTCGATGTGGATCAACAACACGGCCACCACCGCCATGATGATTCCCATTGTAGACTCCATTCTAGTCGAAATATACGATGCCAAAGACGAGTCGTCGAATGGCGACATTGGGCTCAGTGTTCTTCCTTCTTCAGAGGATGAGCAGGAGTCGCGTGCTAAGATAGGACATCGCAATGGTCACATCAATGGCAAAGCTGTTGTTGTCGCCGTCACCGAGACAGAGGCAACCGAGATGTCACTCACCTCTCAAAAGCATAATCTGGTAATCTGGGTATTAAGCCGTATTTCACTACTCACTTATCCACCTTTTGTAATTGCAGAAAATTCTCCGAAAAGCCTTACTGCTCTCAATTGCTTACTCCGGTATGAGGAAACAGTTTGCGCAATGTTTCTCTTGTCTAATTTGACGTCCACTTTTTAGCCAACATTGGGGGCACAGCCACTCTGACTGGAACCGGAACCAACTTAGTTCTTCAGGAGGTGTTTATGAGGTGTGTTTGGTGAGATTGCTTTTACTGTTTGTTTCTAACTTTTACTTGCTGCTAGTAAATTTCCCAAAAGCCACGACTTGACGTTCACTTCCTGGTTCATCTACGCCTTTCCCGCCGCTTTGGTCACTATCTTTGCCGCTTGGGCACTGCTCTACGTCTTCTTTGTGCGCGTGCAGTAAGTTTTGAAAGGAGTTCAGTATCAATATTGGCACTAACGAATGTGATTTCAGTAAAGAGTCACCGGAAACGGGAGCTCGAATTAAATCATCAGCTCGGCAAAAGTACGAGGAGTTGGGACCGTTTACGTGAGTGTCCACTGATTTGCGTGCTTTCTCTGTTTTAATGTACCTCTCTTTAGATTCCACGAAGTAGGCGTTCTCATTCACTTCGTCCTCCTCGTGCTGCTGTGGTTCTTCCGCCAGCCTGGACTCTACCCAGGTTGGGCAGACATGTTGACAGATAACAAAGTGGTAGGAAGTTTATTTTTATTTTCCTTTATACCAAAATCTTACACTTTTTTGTGTTTTCAGCAAATCAAAGACGCCACTCCGGCGATTCTCATTGCCATCTCGATGTTCCTCATTCCGGCAAACTTTCGACAGTACGTCAGCGCCGAGCGGCCCAGGGAGATCAAGCGGTTGCTCAACTGGCGTGTCCTTCAGGATAATATGAGTTGGGGAGTTGTTTTTTTGTTGGGTGGCGGATTTGCGCTTGCTTTCGGCACTGAACGGTCAGGCCTGACGTCACTTTTTTCCAATGAACTGAAGAAGGTGGACATGCAACCGGTGCTGGCAACTTTTGTGCTAGTTTTTATTGGCGCCACGGTCACTGAAATGGCCAGCAATGTCGCCACTGCCAATGTCATTCTGCCGGTCATCTGTCAACTGGTTAGGAAATTTGACTGTTTTTTTCTGTTTCAAACTTAACCGTTTTTCATCAAATCCAGGCGGTGCACATGCAAGTTAACCCTCTCATGTTCGTAGTCCCAGTCACGATTGGTATCTCCTTTGCGTTCATGTTTCCGGTTTCAACGCCTCCAAACGCCATTGTCTTTGAGTACCTGAAGATGAGCGTCATTGAAATGGCAAGTCTATCTTTTTTGTACCGGCAATTAATTAACTTCTAAACTGCAGGTGAAGCCTGGCATCTGCATGAATTTGATTGCCATTGCCATTCAGCTGGCCTTCATCAACAGTCTCGGCCGGCTGGTCTTTGATCTGAGCGAATTTCCCGACTGGGCAAGGGATGACAACTCCACTAGTCCACTGCAGAACAGAATGTTCTAGCCCCGGTGGCCACGGTGGAGTGTGATGATGATGATGAGTTGCTAATAGACAGATGGCGACGCAGTGACGACGTTTCTCTCCAAAGCAGTATTTCTCTCCCCTACCTGCACTGTCCATGTTCATNCCCTACCTGCACTGTCCATGTTCATGTCTGTGCGACTACTTTATAATGAAACAAAGAAGAAAAAAAGTTTAAAGAGACGCACGAAAACGAGTGTGAAGAGAGGGGGACTCGCACGAGGGCACCAATTGTCAGCATACAGTGTGCACTCTGTGTTCGCCTCTCTTTCGGAGTGTGATTATGGGCGCCATCAGCAGCAGCAGCAGCAAAAGACGACACAATGTGATCTTCGTTAGTGGAGCAAAGCGGACGGAGGATACTTTGGCGAAGCTGATTTGATTGGTATTTTTAGAATTCGACCACGACCGCCGCAGCCGCTGCCGCTCTATTTTATCTAGAGACAAACATTGGGTTTGACTTGTTATTAGTGTTATTGTTTGACTATTGTTGAAGAGCAGAGGGAAGAGAGGGAAGGAATAGAGAGGAAAGACAGAGACAGTCAGTCAGGAAAGGTAAATGAAGAAGATGAAGT